TTTTTCCTTGGGATGGTTTTAGTTGCTGCCTCCTGTACAATGTTACAGACCTCCGTCCATAGTTCTTCAATTGCTTCAATGGATGACCTTAATTCTAACAATGTGTATGTGAGAGAAAAACGTTCTTCACATCCAATATTTTGATGGGAGCCATCAACATATTTTCCCTATCTTGAATCAATCCATTTGATTTGCGTACCCTGGGAAAAAACTACTGTGGGTCCCCTGAAGGAAGGGGTGTCCCTGTGTTGGGGAATAGGCTCCTCCTGGAGATCAGACTGGCCCCCAGGTTGTTAGCTTTGAAAAGTTATTAAAAACGGAGTTGCTTTTGGAGCCCTTACAGAAAATGAGACTATCCCACTGGGTATTTGTGGGGCTGTTCTTCTAACGATATGTTTTTGTTGTGATTATACACATTCGTTTACATTTTTAAAATTTATTTATCACGGATAATTGTTGAATATTTGTTTATTATTTATTTACAATATTTATAGCCTGCTCCAATTGATGAGGAATCTGGATAGGATACAAGAAAATCATGTGAAGGAAGGGAGGGAGGGAGGGATAATATGAACATTATTATGAAGCCCAATAAAGAAAAATCTCATAGGTGCCCCATCACTAAAATGTGAACTAGCTGAACTAGTACTCCTCTGGTTAGTTTATGAGATCCCAATAGGGAGGGACCATCTATACCTCAGGGGCTGGATGAGACAGTTTCAAAGAACAAGAGCCACTACTGAGAAGACTGTCACCTAGTCCATGTTCTACGTACCTCTCAAGGAGTGGAGTCCCACAACGGGCCCTCTCTTGAGAACCAGGACAAATGGGAAGCTTTAGTTCTATAATGATTGTTATTGTTAACCACAGTGGGTCTGATTGATAGTGGTGGTGTGCAAATCTAAAGAAAAATTCAATAAATAAAACATGCTTCTCCTCCAGAATATGGAGTGGTGAATATAGCTGTGCAGGTACAGGAAGCTCATAGGAGTGATACACGGGGACCACGAGGAAGAACACCTGATTTATAAATATCCAGCCTTGGCGAAAAGGCAGCCCCGTGTATTCATGCTCATCTCTTTTGCAGAAGCTGTTTCTCTCCTGAGAGCAGTAATTTGGGCAGATGGGCCCTCCAATTCAGGAAAAGGTATTAGCTACAAAAGGCATTAGACTCCAGTGATCAGAAGCAGAGCCATTATAATAGCAAGAGAAAGCTTTTGGTTAAGGTCTTACTGTGTTAAGGTATTATCTGCTCAACCTGTCCTTGCTAAATGCCGGATTTTCTCCCGCTAAAATGTTGAGACTGAAAGAAAGTTGTGCGCTGTATCTTCTCGAATCTCGTTAAGAGAGTGCATTAAGAGAACATGCATTGAGCAAAACAATGCCATTAATTCCCCAAACACTGACAGCACACAAAAGAAAAGAAGGATGTTTGACAAAGATGCCGTCTAAGGTCAGCAACTGGTGTTTTCTCCTCCTCCTTTCACCAAGGAAGGATGTCTTGTTAAGTCCCACCAAGATAATGGAACGGATAAGCCCAGGGTTCACCCAGTTGTTGTATCTTTTTCAATCATTGTATGAACACTCATACAGTGATTCCAGGAGACTCAAAGGAGTGAAAACTTGACAAATGAAATTCAGTTGGGAGAGCTATCTATAACGGCATAACAGATGGATATATGCAGGGCAGCTATTTCCAGTCTAGCCTTCCCAACAGCTTCCAATGTGTTTCTCCACCAAACAGTTGTACCTAGAACGCTGCCAGCTTTTTTTACGGGCCCTGCTCCTGCGCCACAAACTCAGGCACAGATACAGAGCAGAGAGCAGGTGGTGCATTCATCAGCACAGAGATCAATGGAAAGTTTCGTGTGCTTCCTTTCTCTGGAGTCAGTGGGCCTGAGGAATATTGGTAAATGCCGGCCTGTTGAGATTTCAGACAGAGATTTATTCTTAAAAGAAAGGAGAGAGGGCATGTTTTTCCATCTTTTTTACTCTGAAAAAAGTAATGTGGTCCCTTGGGTGCCACAATCATGCAGCTACAATCTCAACTTTTCAAGTCTCAAATGGACGTAAATCTAGTTTAATGAAAGCACAGAATTGCCCCAAAGTCACAAGAATGCCTTTGTATGATCATATCAAAATAATTAGGTACATTCGGAATTGAATGAATCTACATGCGTTCTGTCACACTACTGGCCAAAGCACACTGAGAATCCAAAACAATTTATTCCAATTTACAGTTACAAATTACAATTTACAGTTTTCCTCTTACTCTCTCTCTTAGTCCTTGTGACTTTGGTGGAAAGAGAATAAATAGCAAAATCTACTTTGCTCCTGCTCCTGTTCTGAATCTGGTCACTTTGATCATAAAGCAGTTGCAAAGCATGATTTCTGTTTCAAATTCAAACATGCATATTTTAAAACAGCAACACTGTACAACATCATTTTTATTTCTAATTCTTTGAGATAATTTGTTTAAAATGTCTTGTCAAAAAGATGATAGATGATACTTGGGAATAAGTATGAACATGGGGAGAAATTTCATTGCGTTTGCCAGCATTTTACTGAGAATTTTTTAAAAAGCTTAATTTTATGTTATGGCTTAATTTTTTGGGATCAGAAGCAATAAAAGCATCTATGGCACTTTAGACAGTAATTTGCATGAAAATGGGAAGAGAGACTTGCTTACATGGTGCCACAACCTGGCTATTTTTGGTACAGCATCTAATATAAATGATTCTTTTTTGAGTTATTTTTAACATCAATGTCTTTTTTTTATTAAAAGTATGCCAGCTGGTCATTCAAGAACCATGGCATAAAAGGAGAAGTCTATGATTTGGTGCATTTTAGATATGTCTGGACTACCTTTCCAAAATTTCCAGTGAATAAAGCACTGTCAATTGTTCAGTGAACAAACATTTGTTCTTCATAAAAAGTTACAGCTCCCATCCCAATCTCCCAAAGTCAAGAAAGACCTTTGCCAGAAATCCTAGGAAGTGGTCCCAGCAGGTAGGATAGGGCAGGGCAGAATGGCAACATCTTCTGAACAGAAGACAACCTCTCACTGATATCCTAAACTTCTCATGACCTTCTGACCATTTTTAACACTGTTATTTGGGTTTTGACTTGGTATAGTGGGGTTCCCTCCCAGTCAGTCTTGCAAAGCTACTGTATCATGTACCCCAGGGCCATGTCTGGGTTTAATTCTGCAACTTCTTTTGAGTTTAGCTAAACACAATGGAAGTAAGGAGGCAGAGGGGAAACAGGAGGAAATAATGCTATTGACTCAACTTACAAAAAGAAACCACTGTAATCTAAAGGAGCAATTGCAGTGCTGTTTTACCTGCAAATAAACCAAAATCAATTAAATCAGAGCAGCAAACTCTCAGCATCAGGAAGTGTGAACATATTCAGCAACACCGTTTAGCAGGGCACTTTACACCTTGCTCTCTTCCCTAGATTAATTAATTTACTCTGCAGAAAATGACAGTGAAAATACATCAAGTAGTGTGGTTTCAGGGCAGACTCTTTTGAGGTGCAAATTTAAGCTCTTCGGAGTGTGCATTTTCCACCACCATCCCTCCCACCAGCTGTTTGTGAACACTAATGCTGTTCCGTGCTGCCAGCAATGTGCCCGTAGATACAAGCAATGAATTACCAGCTGTTTTTACCTGTAATGAGTGTAAGGTGTGAGGTTTGGGATCTCCAACAATTGAGCATTCGACTCTTTCTCCACTTCGCACAAAGTTATCCATTCTTCTTCCTCTCCTATTACCCCAACCTAGGGAAAAGAGAAAAGGCTATTTTATACATTTGGGTAACCAGAAACTCAAGGTGCATTCATTCATTCATGCCTTTTTTAGGTTCTTCCGCAATGTTTTTTCAACTCCCAAACCAACCTACAGCCCTGGCATCCCCTGGTAGTGTCCCATCTAAGTACTATTCTAGCCCCACCCTGCTTAGCTTCCAAACCCACCCAGCCAGGACCTGCTGCTCTATTCCTGATAAAACCCAGTTTTCTACTCTGGAGACTCCCCTTGTCTCATCTTAAAATGCAAACTAAAACAGACACGGCAAAAAGAGCAACCACGTTTTCTTCCTACCTGCTTTTTTGTTTGTTTGTTACAGACAGACTTTACCAAGCACGGCAATAGATAATCAACTCTCCAGAAACTGAGTCTTCAATACCAGCAGAAACTTCACAGTCTTAACACAGCTAGATAAATTGCTTTATTACAGACAAGATAAAAGCTGCACATGCAGAGATATGCCTACTGCACAACATAGGAATCAAACTCTATCTATCTATCTATCTATCTATCTATCTATCTATCTATCTATCTATCTATCTATCTATCTATCTCAGCCCCACAATTTAAATCCTAAATCAAGACTTTGGGCCATTCTTTTCCCAGCCTTGAGAATCGGAGACACGTGTTCCATGTTGACATAACTATTCTGTCTAGCCTGAGATTTGTTGATTCCTGCCCTGCTAGCTTTAGCCTTGCACTTGCTAACCACTATGCTTGATGAAGAGTTCTTAGAAACATTAAATCTTGGGACTCGAGTGAAGCTTCATTTGCCCCAATAAAAATATTGCCTCTGTTGATTTTAATTATTGTTTTCCTCACAGCTAACCTGGTTGGGTTTGATTTCTGATGAATCATGTATTTTATTTTTCTTTACTGCCATCTCCTCTTCTCACTATTATTTCCTTAAGACAAATTATAGACGTCTTGGGCAGGGATCCGTTCTGTATTTTACTAACTGCCATGCTCACTGCTGATGCCATATAAACAAACTCAGCAGTGGTAACATCCATGCTAGAGCAAATTATTTCTGAACTATTTGCTGTTCCATTTTAGTGAGGAGTAAATACTGCCGCCTGTTTTCTTGGTTCTTGGCTGTGATGAAAAGCCTCTGAATTCTATCATTTCACCAGCTTTTCAGTGACACGTTTTCCAGGTGGCCAATTAGCAGTAATAATTAAATTGCAAGAGCAAATACTAAAAAAAAAAAAAAAAAAAGGATAGCAGCAACAAGTGAAAAAAGAACAGCAAGGAAAACAGTCTAATTTAACTAACCCTCAGGGGTTGGGCAACCAAAGTTAGCTCCTGGAAGAAATTGTCATGGGGCAAGCATTGCAAATGCTCCTTATTTTGCCAGTGATTTTGCCCAAGAAAGCATCACTTGTTTAACACTCTGTTCGCGAGCTATCAGCCTAGAGAAATTGTTGCAAAGTCCCCCAACAGTTGTATAAGCAGGGTAAATGAAGGGCAAACAGCAGGTATGGATCTGAGGATGAGATTGCAACCAAATTGGTACCATAGGTTGACCAAAGAAGAGCTACAGGGAGCTTCCTTCTAGCTCCCAGAAGTGATACTTTTAAAAGTCTAGCAACTAGTATCTCAGTTTGATTTTATCTTCCTCCTTCCCAAAGCCTGGAATTAGAGGAATTAGGAGGATAAGACTAGGGAGGGCACAACAGTTTGCCTCTAGGAGAAAATTCTTACAGGCTTCTAATCAAAGCACTAAGCCATGATTTCATGAATCACAGCATTCTGAACAAACCAGAATCTGTTGGGTTTACCCATTGCATTAAGTCACATTGTCATGATTGAAGGCAATTTCTGAACCCAGTCTCTGTGTGGGTGTTTCAGCAAACACTCCGAGTCTTGGGATTTTAGATCTTTATTTCAAATCTAAGTCGGGGGTCCTCTTTTGCAGTTCTCTGAGAGAAGCAGCATGTTCTAGGATTTCCCCAAAAACATGCTTGGGTACCAAGATTTGGACTGGAATAAAAAGAAAAGAAGAAAAGAAGTTTAGGTCTCCCTGCTGGCTAAGCAGTCTGGAGACTTTGCAGTGCTTGGTATTAGTTATCCCCGATAAGTGGCCATCGGCCAGGTCAGCAGATTATGCCCAAACAGGGCATAATGTGCCAGCAGGGCCAGAATGCAGAGTTGATGGTTCTGGGAGGGAGAAGAGGTGCCAAGAAAGCCAGGAAGTCTGAAACAGCATGGAGGAGACAGCGGGCTGTGAAAGCACAGAAAGAAACATAATCACTGCCTACATCTTGATAGCAACAAGACTGTGAATAAGTCGCATAGCTCTATCTTTACCAACAAAGAAGACTTTTTCTTCATATTCATTAAACACCATTTATCTTTATCCCTAGAAAATCCAGAAAGTTCCTCAATCTGAATCACCCACGTTTTGGGACCAGCTGCCTTCCAGATGTAAGGAACAGACCTCCCACGTGGTTATTAGTTATTTGATGCACAAAGACGGCATTGAACAACACCAGGAGGGTTGGTCCTGAATTTAAAACCCCACTCAATCACAAACTCAACTTGATGTTTGCGTTCCTGTGGCTTCACTCCTTCAAACTAACCACACAACGTTGCCAGGAGGAAGAAGAAATGCAATCAGAGGGAGAACTCTGCATGCTGCTCGAAACTCCTTGAAAGACGGGCAGGATACAAATGTAATATTGTAAATATAAATTAAATTTGCATCAATGTACCAAAAGAATAGCGAAAGAATTTAGAGTCTTCAGACAGGAAAAATCAAAGGAACTGGAATTGTGGTAACAATCTGAATGTTATCTTTGTTCAAATGTTGTCCTTCTGGAGCAACAAATGGAACTGCTTTGGCAAGCACCGAGAAGGGATGTCCCAAGTGAGCGTTCAAACCAGAATGCAGGTTTTTGTAATTAGAGAAGATTATTGGTATGGTCTCGAAGGGAACAGCTGACTCAGGACATGTCTGGAATGTGGAAAGATTCCTCCTTGAAAAGCCAGCTGGATGACAGGTGGTGAGCTACCTGCCTTGGGGCTCAAGAGGCTGTAGATAGAATGACTGTGATCTGGGGACAATCATTATGTCTAGTGCACCTGGAAATTGCAGAAAGCTGTGCAACAGTAGTGACAAAGGCAGCCGAGCACATCGCCTTCTCTCAATAGAAATGCCTAGCAAGTGTCCAGAGTTGAGCTAAATTAGTTGGCCACCAGGAAAAGGAACACACAACTCACCACCTGAAACGTAAACACACACACACAGAATGAGAACAGAATAGAGGAAGCTTTTCCTCCAGCCTGGCAGAAGCCTAAATCTCTATGATGTGCTCCACCTGCAAGGGTATCATTCTTGTGTCAAAAGGAACAAAAGTGCTGTTGATGTTCTCCTTAGATATCATTCAATTGCCAGTGCTGTTGGCCTCTCTGGATCTATGAGCTGAGCTACAATATGAGAGGAGGCATCTAGATACCTGGAGGAGGATTCAACAATTTCTGGGCAGAGCCACAGAAACAAACCCAGGAAAATTGGAAGGAATACAGGAAGCTGTTAGACCATTGGTGATCTAGTGCAGTGTCATCTGCACGGAGGTGGTCTCTGAATAGTTTAAGAAAAAACCTGAGCTTTCAATATGATGCTGTCATAAATTATCCAATGCATCAATCTGGAAAAAAAAATCATTTATTCATTTCTAATAGTTCTCAACTGAGGGCGACATGAATTCATTTCCAATGCAGCAAAGAAAAGGTAGGAAAATACTGGATGGAAGATTTGATCTGATCGTTTCTGTTTTAAGGAAATATTCCATTCATATTTGGGGCCTTGTGATCTCAGCACTCCCTGGAGGAGAGTCCTGCTGAAGGGCCATTCAGTAAGTGAAGTTTGTTCTTGGCAAAATCACTGTATCCAAGAAGTGGATCTGGAACATGGGCATTTCTTTCTTCACCTCAGTAACAACAGTTGTACACAGAGATCTTTCTAAAAATCAGTGAGAAGTTGCATGCACATTCTCTCCATGAAAAGCTATCAAGACACTTCTTTTACACCAGATGTGCAAAACCTCCCTTGAATGTGGAATAATTGTATTCACAATTCAGAAAATTGACCTTGAGAAATTCAACTTCCCTACCTGGACCTGCACTGGTAAAATGTTCATGACACTTTCACAAGGACATGGTAAATGTCTAAGCCAACACCCTAATATATTCTTTTCAGCCTGCTTGTCTTATGAGCAGTATTTCCAATTTGTCTTGATCATCAATTCTTGGATGATGATGGGACGGAAAGAGATAAAGCTTAAAATCAAGGGAAGCAGGAGGAGAGTGGGGAGTTACTTCTATGGTGGCTAATGAGAAAGATAGCATAACCCCCACTTTCAGTTTCTCATTTGCTATGGGAACAAACTCTTTAAAGTACACACACTTTGTTTTCTTGGGTAAACAACATAGTATAAGCTGAAGGTACTAATTGCCTATTCATTGCTACCTTTGCTTAGGTTCCAGCCCTAGTATATATTGCAACTCGAAATAAGCCCCCTTGGACATGAACAGAGTCTCAGTCTTAATACTGAAAGGAGACCAATTTTGGTCTCTTAATAAAGATCAAGTCAACAGAAGGTATGAGCTTCTGGAAGTCTTAACTGAAACTTGGGATAGATGATACTATGATACCACAGGTGCCATAGAAATGAGCTTTACAATTTTGTAATTGCTATCAAGCACCGTGAACAATCTGGTTTTGTTATGTGGAGAATCATCACTGGAAACTAACAGAAAGAATAATTTTCACCCAATATCATTAAATCTTAGTGCAAAGAATTAGATTCACCTCTCTTCTTCTCCCAAGAAAAATGATACATGGGGCTCTACTGTACATGGGGCTACCCTTGAAGAGTATCTGGAACCTTCAGCTGGTGCAAAATGCAGTGGCACAGGCAGTTATGTGTGCCCCTTGATCAGTGCACATTACACCTCTGCTACACGAGCA